CTGTACTGGGACTGTAGCTCCTATTATAACAGGACTGTTCTACTGTACTGGGACTGTAGCTCAGCTAAGACATGACTCATTGTAATACCCATTTATAAATCTGGGTCCTTCAATGAAAGGGCATTTCTTTAAAACAGAACCTACTTGTAAAAACTGACTGTTCTTCCTACTCAGGAGGAAGAGGAGGGTGAAAGGTGGGAGAGGGAAGTCCAAGTCATCAGGACAGTCAAGGAAAGCGGATGTCAAGGAAAGCACCCCACTTTCTGAACCAAAGGCACCCTCCCCAACCCCCCAGCAGCCGGAGCTGAAAGCTCAGCCCACCGGCTCCACACAGGAACCTCCTTCCAACCCACCGCCCCCTACACCTGACAGCCAATCAGAGCCAGTCCAGTCTCCCGGGGTCAAAGGTGAGGGGTCACAACTGTCAAATGCCAGGAGAGACCAGACTGAATATGACCGGACCGCTTCAGGTAAATTATCGTGAGATTTTGCCAAATAATCTGTATGTTCTCCTTCTGCCATGTGGAAGGAATGAATACCGCCCCGAGGCAGTGTTGCCCAGTGTCGAGTCAGCATTGTCAGCTCAATGGTCGATTTCAAAGTGAACCACAGAGGGTAAGGTGGATCAAAAACTAAAGAGCTCCTGGAGGCAAATTATGTTAATGTTTCATGCTTAATTGATACATGCCCTTTACGGTTTACTGTGGTACAGCATAATAGAACAGCGCAGTGCACAGTAAATTGATGGTGAAGCAGAGGTACAACAAAAATTCACATCTTTGTGAATTTGTGAACATGGGCAGCCTGGTGGTGCAGTGCTTGGCATTGTTGCCTTGCAGTACTGGGGCCCTGGGTTCACATCCTGGGGTGCGACTTGCATGGAGTTTGTATGTTCGCCCCCCATGCGGGTAGGTGTCCCTCAGGGACCCCTGTTTCCTCCTGCAGTTCAAAAAGATGTGTTGGTGGATTCTGGGAAAATGGACCCCAGAATAGGCTCTCTCCCACCACCCTTCTGGGGCCAGTGCGGTGGCCCTGTGGCTAAGGATCTGTGCCTGTGGCTGGAAGGTTGCTGGTTCAAATCCCGCAGCTGGCAGAGGAATCCTACTCTGTTGGGCCCCTGAGCAAGGCCCTTCACCCCAACTGCTCCAGGGTATAAATGGCTCCAACTGCTGTATAAATGGCTGACCCTGATGGTGTTAATGTGAAGTTCAAGTATGAGATGGACCTTTCAGAGAAAATGAATGTGCTGTATGCAACGACTACACCAAAAACAATTTAGTAAAATAGTTAAAAATGTTTTTGTTGAAGTAAAATACAATTTTACTACAGGACTTTATACAAACATGTCCAAAACGCCATGTGGATTTCCTGCTGTAAACTGTCACAAGGAGTGCCCACTTGTGCGAGGCGGCTATCGATGTCACTGTGAGGACTGTCTGCCCTTCTGTGTGCCCAAGCAGCGATTACCATCGATGTGCAATGTTCCTCTTATTGGAGCAGACAGAGATGCGGAGAGCAGTACCGCCAAGGAGCCAGAGATCCCGCCCCCCCAAGGCGACAGCCAACCACGCGCAGCCTCGCCCGACCACAGCCAGGGGAATGTGGAGCAAAACCGGCTTCCCGACCAATCGGGTGGCTCCTCCTGCCAAGCCCCTCCCCTCCTGCGGGACCTCAACCCTGAGCTCCTCCAATCAGGGATGCTGATTCTGCCAGGTTGAGTGGGAACTTTTTTGTTGTTGTTGCTTTTTAACTTCCATTCCATCCTCCTCCTGTAACAGTGCTGTTCTGCTGTACTTGTACTTGTACTTGTACCTGTCCCTCCTACTGTTGTTACGGTATTCCGCAGCGCATTTCCAGTGAAAGTACTATAACGTCTCCCCACCGGCTCTCTGCTTCTTGCGTTGAGCAGGCACAGTGGACAGGATGGGGCGAGCCCTGGTCGTCATGGAAGCGCGGAGCCAGGGATGGGGTTTCCGCGACGACGAGGTCGCCAGCGCCCTCGCGTGCTTCCACGGCCTCACCAGGTAAACCCGCCCTCGCTCGCTGGCTGCCGTAAGAGTCCTCACCAGCAGCAGCCGCGGCAGCAGCTGTCAGGGGAGCCGGCCCGGCCTCCCGCGGAGTGCGCGGTAAAGACCCTCTGCGGGACGGAATCATCCGGAAGAGGCCGGAGACGGACATCAGGGAAAGACACTCCGGGGTTTATTTGGGCCGACGGACGGGCGGTGACAGCAGCGCACGGGGAAAAGCAAAGGCGCCCAAATCCAGGGAGGCAGTCAGGGCACAGTCCATATTCCGTGGGCCGGGAGATCCATCCGAGACGAGGAAAGGGAACCAAGACCAGGAACGCGGAGAGATAAAAACATGACGGGACCAGGCGTTCTGAGCCCCGGGCTCAGAGGTCAGGACGTCGGGGTGGGGGGGGGGACGTCTATGCCCTCAGGTTAGCTCCAAGCCCAGTGCTAGGTGGGCTTTCGGACCTGTCTTCCAAAGCTGAGCCCGGACCAGCGGAGACGCCGGGCTTATAAAGCCCAAACATAAGCAAGGCACAC